GAAACTAACACAACACTGTAACTCAACTATACTTCAATAAGAAAAAAAAATTCTGAGACAAAGTTACAAACATCTAAAAATATAGCCGTAATATTAATAAGTATATGTACTAGTCTACGCTAACGATGTTTATTCACAAGTACGTTTTAATTAACCCCTGTACTCACATTACAATAATGTAGCTTCACTGATGCATTCATATAATATTAGGACTTCATAATTTGGATTAGTTATTCCATTGCCACTTTTATGCTAATTTTCTTCATTCTTTATATTCTCCAGTTTTATGCCACTTCATGCAAGAAAATCTGACCTACCATAATTAGAAAGACTTCAATACAATATTCATTAAGAAGGAAGGGACTGGTTTAGCTATTCAACATTTTTGCACCTTTTTAACTTCTGAATGTAAATGTTTCTTTCAATATATAAAACCGTAGTCTTTTTTAGCATACTGCACACTGCTATATAAAAAAATGATTATTTTCCTTTCTTTTTTTCAGATGGGGACATTGCTATCATCGTAATTCAAATAGGTCAAATGCAACTGTAAAGTGAGTTCTCTATAATACCAGACATGTGAATAGTGTTTTAAAGTTTGAGCTGATCCTAAACTGCCTCTTAAAACATCAAAATACTTCTAGGCCATGGTCGTTTTAATTTTAACCTTAGCAAAACTGAGTAGAAATATAAGTATGCTAGTGTAAATACAAACAAATAGAAAGCATAGTCAACCAATAAATTCACTTCAGTGCCAAATAAAAATGAATTTGGGATTTCATAATCACTTGCCTCCATTAAGCATAGATAATCTAGAACTTCATATATTAGGATTTATTTACATGCAATAATTTCTTCCATACAAACCTGACAGTGGTCAATATAAAAAATACAGTAGCATCATTATAAAACAAATGTTTAATTTCAGATACGAAAGTATGTTTGTAGGGCAGGAAAAGGCATGAGTGGATTTCTTCATCTTCTAAGCAAAATTCCATTACAACAAAAATTTCTGTAAAACAAACTATTTTCTAGCCCCAACTGGTAGCCCACTTTTTTTTTTTTTTTTTTTTGCGGTACGCGGGCCTCTCACTGTTGGGGCCTCTCCCGTTGCGGAGCGCAGGCTCAGCGGCCATGGCTCATGGGCCTAGCCACTCCGCCGCATGTGGGATCTTCCCGGACCGGGGCACGAACCCGTGTCCCCTGCATCGGCAGGCGGACTCTCAACCACTGCGCCACCAGGGAAGCCCTAGCCCGCTTATTTTAAAGGTAGTGTTGGATATAAGCAATACCACAGCAAAGGAAGAATTTAGAAAATTCCTTTTCTAACACAACATTGTAAATCAACTATACTTCAATAAAATTTTTTAAAATTCCTTTTAGACACTGGGCGAAAATATTTTGAGGCAGTGAATATGTATTTGTTACACTAGTGGGCAAATTAAAGTCGGCTAACAGTCGAAGGGTAAAAAAAATAAACACCTTAGTAGTTAAGAGTGAGAGCTTTTCAACTATATTTCAATTAAAAAAAAAGAGTGAGAGCTTTGAGGTCAGACTGCCTAGGTTTAAATCCTGGCTGTACTACTTAGTAATTGTATGACCTTGAATATTTCATCTGTGTAATGGGGATTAAAGGGCCCAGCACACAGTACATCAAATAACAATTATTAACACTTGTTATTAAGAATTTTAAATACACAGTATTTTAATTTCTTTCATCTTTGGTTATTATTTTCATTTTGTAATTCTTCCAGCATGTCTTATTTGTAAAGGCATTTACAAATAAGTAACAGTGATACAGTAAAACCTAAGTTATCCAGAATGCTTGGGAAATGAATCATTCTGGAAAGGTAAATTTTCTATAGGGTACCTTTTTTTTTTTTTAGATGTTGGGTTTAGTAGTTTATTATAGGGTACCTTTATAGGTATCCAGAAAAAAAAAAATCAACAAATGTGATAAATTTATTTCCTACCCTATTACACACTTCCATGCCTTCTTAACAACAGTATACTAGTGGTAAACTTTTTCTTAATAAATCACTATTATTATGAATATCAATTATATTTCCATGTTAAAATGTCACAATCCAAAGCTTACCAACAGTAATATGCCTACTTGATTCCACCTAAGGTTTTTTAACATTAAGTCCATGAATAGAATTCAGGGGGTGTGAAATTGAATGGGAAAAAAAAATTACATCTTTATTTTTACTAACCTCTAACTGAAAATTAGCATTTCCTTCAATTATGACTGAAAGCACCAAAGAGCTGCACCTATGTCTGTATCTCCAATAGGAATCACAGATCCTTTATATCACATTACAACTGTTGCAAACTCTGGAAATTTTATGTTCATCATTATTTCACAAATTTGGTCTTTATTAGACCCAACACTAGATCTTACAGTGTTAATAAAGCCCATATATTCCTATATCAAAAGTTTGTTTTTCTTGAATATTTTGAGCTTGTTTCAAATTTTTTTCTTTTGTAATGCTATGAATTTTATTTTATACATTTAAAAGCATAATTCTGAGAAGAGTCCATGGCTTCACCAGACTGCTAATGTGGTTTGTGGCTCAAAAACAGTTAAGAACGCTGACCTCAAATTTGTCTCACTCTTCTGTGCTCTTTTAATTCAGAGCATTGATGTAGTCCATTATATTTTCATACCAAAGCTTGTTTAGATTAGGGTAGTACAAATTAGCTTCTCTAGGGCTTTTCTTCATGGACCTCCTGGATTTTGTGAGTTCCCTCTGAGTAGGTAGGAATGTTTCCTACCATTCTTATACTTGGCTTTTGAAAGAGCAAAACAAATAGAGGGAGAAATAAGTCAAATAAAATTAGCTTCGGATAGTATTGAAAGTAGAAATCTAAAACATCCTACCCTCCCACTTTCTAAATTAAGAGACAATAAATACTCCATTCAATAAATACTCTGATATTAACTGCATGGGTTCAAATTCTACTTCTGCTATTTATCAGCTTTGTGACCATGGGACAGTAACTTAATCTCTCTGTGCATCAATTTCTTTATTTGTGAAAGAGGTTAATAAGCACTGTACCTGGTACATTATAAATGTTCCATAAATATTACTTATATTTATTATTATTATTATAGATTTGTTTCACACTATGGCCAGCTAATATTTGACTGACTAATAACTTACATTTATACAGTATTGTAGTCTACAGTGCCCTTTTACATGCATTATGACATCTGAAGCATATGATAACCCTGAGAAAGGACAGCTATTATTATACCTACTTTAGTGCTGAAGAAACTAGGTAACCACACCAATATCACACAAATGGGAAGCAATGGAACAAGAACTCAAACCTGCATTTCTTCTTTCACTCCAGTTGTCTAATCCTGTGTTTCTACTGTATTAGACTGGTTAAAAGAGAGAACAAAAGGAAGCTTATTCAGGAAAAAAGGAGGGGGCAGAGGTGTCCAGCAGGCCATGAGGTGAGCACTTTGGTGCTATGGTACTCACAGGGTGGTCCTCTGAGTAATCTGTATCTTGTTAGAATTACAGAATCTCAGGCTCCACCCCTGGCCTACTAAATCAAAATCAGCATTTCGAACAAATCCTAGGTGATTCCAAGATACTAGTTTGAGAAGAACTGTTCCACTAATTGCTCTAGTGATGCTGTTATGGTCACTTGAATAATGCAGATTTACCACAGACTTAATAAGTTTTTATTAAGTAATAATTTATAGTAGGAGGAAATAGCTTCCTGCTTTCCCTTTTTAAAAGTCAAGTATATTTAAAAAACAAATTTATATTTCCATTTAATTCTTAAAGATCTCTACTCTCTTAAGTGGGGTCTTTAAGGAACGTTAGAAAACCATAAGCAGGTCAGTTCTTACTTTCCAATGCCCTATAAAATTAATCTTACTACCCTGTGCCCTAAGTATGATATACCAGAAAGCAAAATCACCTCTCCATCCTTTTCACCGGCAGAATAAAACCCTGTATTTCTCTCCCTGGATATTTCAGTAAGTACTGAGTTTTTCGGACCCCAAACTCTATTTCTTGAATGAGTTTTGCAACTTTCTGGCTCTAGGGATTGAAACACAGCAACGGAAGAAAAAGGTATTAAGCCTACTCCCATACCTAAACCTTAGCGATGGTGATCGTTGATTACAGAGGCAAGTAAACAGCCCGTCCCAATCTCCCTACCCTCCCTCCTAATCAATTCACAGTTGAGCTTGATTTCTAGGCTGCTCTAATTCTGGGGTCTGGTCAATGGACACTCTTTTCTAAGGGCTGACCCTCTAGGCCCTAGGGTCAGAATAGCACTAGGATTCCGCACCTGGGAGCGCTGATCAGCCTGCCCGGTTCTATTTGAAATAACTGTTCCCATTTTGAGGGGCGACTCCTCCCACAGGTTAACCAGCCCAGGCCGGCAGGCGAGCCAATATCGCTCACCTGCTGCACCGGAAACTTCAAAAGCCCGAGTCAACGTAGACTAAAGGTATCCGGTAATTAACCCATAGTACCTCCCACAGCACATTCCTGACTGAGCGCCTGACAGAGGGATGTGTCGGCTCGCGCTCTTACCAGTGCGGGAAACTATTTCCTCTCCCTCCCACCAATATAAGCATTCAGGGGCGGTGCTTCCCGGCCACGGCCCGCCCCAGGTCGATCCGGTGCCCCATTGCATCTCGCGAGAATTTGTGGATTTGGGGGCGGGCCCCTATCAGGAAGAGGGCACAAAACTGCCCTTAAGTCATTGCAGCGCTACAGCTCCTGTTAGCCAGCCACGAGATTCTCGCGAGATTCGCCTCCTCAATACCAAGTGAGGAAATTGGGGGACGCTGTCGGGAGGGGTATGGGGCTCGACCGCGCAGCTGCCGCTTCCATTACCTTCCTCCCATGGTCTCCTTCCGGTTCTCGATGCTTCTCTGACTCTAAGGGTTTCCGCCGCTCGTCTACCCTTCCCCCCAGCCCATGACCTGCCTCCGGCCCCCGCCCTCCCAGTCCAACCTCCGATCTGTTTAGTAAGAAGGTGCTGTTCCGAAAAGAAGGAGAAGGGGGTTGGCACAGATACGCTCGGCCCAGGACCTGGGGAGCAAGCCGTCCTCTTTCGCCCTTAGATTCGCTCCGCGCTCGCGACGGCGGCGTTGGCGGACTGATACGCGGCGGTGAAGAGGCAGGAGGAGGGGGGAGGGGCGGAGCGTGGCAGCTGGCAGTAGTTCCGTCAGAGCGGACATCTTGTGGCTGTGTCGTGCGCGTGAGCCCCGTAGGGCCGGGGAGGCACCAGCTGCCGCGCGGGGAGGAGGCCGAGGCCGCAGCTTGAGGGAGGCCCCGGCCCCTCTGTACGCGTGGGTGTGGACGGCTAGGGGAAGGGAAGGGAGGCCGGCCCAGTGGCCGGCCGGGTAAGGAGGGAAATATAGGCCCTCGGTGGCTTGAGTGACCAGCCTGTTGGGTGGGGTAGGGTGGGAAGGCTGGGGACGCCGGGGCCTCTCCCGTTTAAGGGGGAGGGGGAATGGGCGCGTCCTCGCACCTAAGCCGGAGCCTCAGGGGCAGCTCGGGCGCGTGGTGGCGGTGGCTGGGCGGGCGGGAGCGCGCGGGAGCGCGCTGGAAGGCGGAGTGTATGGTGGCGTCAGGGGCGACACAGCATAGCTCTAGCTGAGGGGACAGCGGTACACATCCAGCCTCTGATTTATTTCCTTCCCCTCCCTGGCCGCACTTTTGAGCAGCGGCCGAAAGAAGCCGGTCGTCAGTCCGGAGTCTCCTGTTCTCCCCTCCCCCCTTGCCTTTCTTTGCCCTAGTGACGCCGGCGTAGCGCCGACTAGGCCCCGGCTCCTCCTCTGCTGGGCCCCGGACCCTGCCCCGCACCCACCCCTTTCTCCTACGCCTCTTCCTTTCCCACCCGGGTCTCTTCCTTTCGAGAGGCCGGGAAGTCACAGTTGGAGCCACCCCTCCGCTCTTCCCGGCACCCTCGCCCCCTCTTCGGGCCGAAGCTCGGCATAGAGGCTGTCGGTGGCTCTGCCGCCCCACCCACCCCGGATCGCGACCGTTTTTGAGGGACTTGGACTCGTCAGGGTCTCTGCGGGGCCTGTGCGAGTGCTGATCTGCTCCGTTTTTGCAAAAGGCGCCTGTGTCTGGCAGAGCCGGTGTGAGACCAAGAGACAATCCTTCCCAGCCGCCGGGATAATCAAGAGTTTTGGCCGGAACTTTGAACACACACCGAGATAGTGAGGAGCCAGACGAAAAGCACAGACTATGGCGCTGAAACGGATTAATAAGGTAACCCATGGGGCGGAGGGAATGGGGGCGTGAGAGGAAAGGAAGGCCCAGCCGGGAGGGAGATCCTTGGCATTGTGGGGGGGGTATAATTTCGGAAAGACTCTTCCTTGGGTCACTTCGTCCATTGGGGGATGGGGAACGCGGCTGTACTTTAAGAAGAAGCGAGGGGGAAACTCAGGAACAGAGCACTTGCGGCAAGTGAGGTGTTGTTATCTTGAGCGTGTTTCAGTGGAATCGGTGCAAATAAGCGATGAGGGAGAGTGGTGATTGCAGGCGCCTCGATTCTTCGAGAAGAGTTTAGTCCCTCTTCGGAAATGCCGGGAGACGCTCCCGCAAATGTCACGGCGCTTCCTATTCTCGGGGCTTGGAAACTTATTTTAGTTGTAAGATCAAGGCCCCGGGCCTTCTGGAAGAATAGACGGGGGAATCTCAGAGGAGAGAAGACCTAAGAAATGCGGCGGGTCCCGAACGTGATTAAGGGGTCGGGTTAGAAGTCTCACCAGCTGAAGAGTAGTGAATGGGCCTGGCCAGAAACTGCTCGACTCTGGGCAGCTTGCACAGGAGTAAGTGGGGTTGGGAGGAGGTGGGCTGACACAGTGTTGCCGCTTTCTGTGTTTTGTAGTTGCGGCTTTTCACCCGAAACTGTTCATCAGAGGCGCGCCGGGAACTGATGGAAAGCCCTTCTGGAAGCTCCGTTTTGCTTGGGCGGGGGTGGGGGGGGGAGAGTGTGGTGGCAGGGAGAGGAGGGTAGGTGTACCTATGTCTGCCTCAGTCCATTTCATAGCAGCCTCCGGGGAAATTGTTAAGCTATTTAAGACGAGGTTTGATGGTACACTGTGGATTCATGTTGGAAAAAATAGGGTTTTTCGAGGCTTGGTGGGTGAGCGGAACCTCCACCTCCGGTGGTTTAGTCTCATTTTCTTGCTCTAACTTCTATCCCGCATTTTAAGATGGCGGCTGCTTTAAGTGGTTCAGGATCTTTCCGGCATCTCCTTTCGTAATAATATGAAATAATATTCTTTGTTAAATGTTAACTTTTACATCAGGTTGTACACTGCCCTAAGATCTCCTGCTCAAGACTTATCTATATTCAGACTCTCAGACTGTATTTCCCTTTTTTGTAACTTGTGTGAGATGTGTTTGGTTCTTGCACAATCAAGGAGGGTGGAGTATTTACAGCTAACTTGAAAAAAATGCCATGGAATAAATTCAGCCTTACTAAAACTAGGAAATAGAGGAGGTTGTGGATTACAAACTTTGGTTTTGATAGGTTGCTTTTTAAACAGTTTACATGGACGGAATGGCAAGGACTTGGCTTTACTAAAAATAGACGTGATGCTGCTTAATTTTACATTTATTTAACGTGTGACTTTGGAACGTATTTGGCAAAACTGTTATCTTATGAATGATGAAAGTTTAGATTCAAAGTATTGATGTTGAAATGGTAAATTTTGATTTAGGCCATCACTGCATTGTCTCTGGGGGCTTGTGTGAAATACAAACTTCAGTCTTTGTATTTTTGAGACCATGGAAAAAAGAGGAGTTAAGGCTTAAAGTACAAAGGATTATTAAACATCTCTTTCTATGACCACTTTGAAGGCCAGCAACACACTGGAGAAGCATAGTTATTTATATTTTGCAATATAGTTGAACATAGTATTCAGTACAAATCAAAACCTTTTATCTATAGGAATTAATTCGGGCCACTAAGATGTGGAATAATTTTAAATCCATAGATTTTTATGCACGTGGAACAGAACACTTTAAAGGAAGGTCTCATTGATTTTTTTTCTTTTACAGGTGATACCCAGCTGCTGTGACACCACTTTAATGATTTAAAAGCTCTAGAGAGTCAGTATAATGGTTAGGAGTGTGAACTTCGGAGCAGAAATGCTCCAGTTAGAATTCTAGAGCTGGGCAAATTTACCTGTGTGCCTCTATAAAATGAATATTTGTTGTGTATGAGCTATAAATAATTGAGTGTTTCGTGTGTACCAGGCACTATTCTAGACACTAGGGTTGCAGCAGTGAGCAAAACAAATTTTAGAGTCCAAGATTTTTCTTAAGGATTAAATAAGTTAATGTGTGGCTTTAAACAGGCCCCTAGCACAAGGCACTCAATTTATTACTGCAACTTTAATTTTCAAGAGCTTTTATTAAAGAACTCTTCGAGTCTAGTACTCTTCATCAATACCAGATTGTCTCCTTTTGTAAATACTTTGAAGATCTGTGTAATACAGAAACTTGACACAACACTTTCCAAACTGGAAAAAAAGTGTTGATGTGGGACATTTTTGATTCAACCTGTAGAAAAGTTTTGTTGTGCATGTGGTTTGGTCTTCAGCTGTCACTGTCAGAATCATATGGTCAAACTTTAAAAAAAAAAAAGTCCCAGATTCAAACAGTTTTAGCAAGTGGACAACTCTGATGGGAGATGCTCTTTATTTTAGGCACCTCTCTTTTATTTTTAATTTATTCTTGTCTGCATCCCCCCAGATTCTGAATGTTAAGATATATCTATTCCTCACTGATCATTTTATTGGAATGCTTATTGTTGGAATATTTTTAATCAATAGCAGTTCATTTGATTAAGCTTTTAAATTTGTTTTCTTTCTAAAGCTTATGTTGTAGTTTTTTTGAATATTTCTTAGACCAAGCAGCCTTATCAAACAGCCCTATTCTTTTTTTTCCCCCCCTTGTATTCTTTATTGGGACAAGCTGTGGTCTTATAAGGCTGTCAACAAGAATAAAATATGTGAACTCCCTAGTTGGTTGGTGGTGTTTGGGAGCCAGAGGCAGTTTTACTACTCTCATCATACAGAATGACCACAGTGCATGTATTTTGGGGAAGTTTAAAGAGAACTTTACATAAAATGTAATATGAACCAAGCCTGAAAGAATAGCTCATGCTTTGAGTGTTTGCAGTGTGTCAGAACTGTTTGAAGCACTTGAATTAACTCTTATGACACCCCAAGGAAGTAGGTATAATTAATATCTCCATTCTAAAATTAGAAACCTAAGGCACAGAGAGGTTTAAAAAAAAAAATAGGGTCCTCATATCATGGCAGAGTTGCGATTAGGACCTAGGCAATTTGGGCTCTGCAGTGTGTGCTCTTAACCACTACATTGTCATGTCATCTTTTTAGGGTTTTGGTATTTTAAAAGTTTTCTTTTGTATGCATCATTCTCCTAACAGCTAGACGTAGCATCTGCTCTGTATTGAACACTGTTTCTAAGCCCTTTATGAGTATCTACTTATTTAATTCTCACAACAACCATATGAGATGGATGCTCTTACCATTCCATTTTATATGTGAGGAAACAGGTATAGAGTGAGTTACTTGTCTATGGTCAGATGGCTGGTAAGGGACTGAGATTCAAATCCGATAGTCTACCTCAAGAACTCGAGCTCTTGAACTCCATGCTGTCTGCTATTTTGAACAATTTCAATTCCTAAATTTAATCTTGCTTCCTGAAATAAGCTCTCTCCTCCCACTTCACATTTAAATAATTGGGATTGAACTTTATTCTTAAGTTATAGCTAATTTGTGAGTTTAGATTTTAGCTGACATAAGTTTTGAAAGTAGTGAATTTCTTTTTGGTTAGTATCTTCAAGGACTAAGGGAACTATGTGCTGACTAATCACTAGGGGCATCATAAACTTCTTTCCAGTAAGCCTATAGGCTGTATGCATCATGTCTCAAGGCTTGTCTTTAGCCAGCTAACTTAGTTTGTAGGGCGTTTGTTGACTGAGAAATGCTGATCATGTAATGACCTCAGTTTTTTATTTGAATAAGGGTGATGTTGACACTATGCTTTGGTTTCATCATAATCACCGTCAATGTTAATTCTAGTAGTTATCATACAAGTGGAAAGTTGAATACTCTAACACTGGGGAAAAACTATCACTGGATATCTCTATCATATTGCATGTTAACTCGTGCGTTCAGGTGTCCTTTGTTATCTAAGATAACAGTCAATTGTTGAGGATTTTCCAAAGCATTTCACTATAATCCGTTTATTAAAGAAGACACCAAATTCCTAGTATTGAGATTAAAATGTTTCAGATTGAATTCTCAAATCCTAGATTAGCTTTTGCATTCTACTAGATTTTGGTGTATGTGGGTTTTGACATGGGTTACATTTATATATCAGAATGTTCAACAGCTTTTAAAAGAATATAGGTACATGAGGTCTTGCCAGACTTACTGAACCATTTCTCTGGGAACAGGCATAATTTTGAGATGTCCCCTAGGTGATTCTGAAGCCTCCCTCTGGTTAAGAACCTCAGACATAAGGGATAATCATTTAATCAATACTTATTGAGGTCTTACTGTTTGGCACAGTAGTCTAGTCTCAGGGCACAAAATATAGGGAAGCCTGTTACTACCCATGAGGATGTCTTCTTTGAGTGAAGGAAACGAGCATGTAAACACATAAATTGGTATTTGTCACTCTATACAGCTTTTCAAAATTATAAATCAAGTACGGGAAGCATTTATTTAAAATAAGGGGAATCGTTATTCCAATGTCAGATTCACCCATTATTAAAGATAGGTTTATTTAAATGCCTTTCCTGTACGATATTTTATATATATAGTTATATATATATTTTTCACTGTTTAGTGTGTTTTTTATAACTAATTCCCTTTCCAAGACAAATTAGTGTTAACAAAATTAAATGATTTTTATTTCACTGGAAATTTTGTGCTCTTGAGCTAGTTTTGCTACCATAACAATGATCTTATTTCAAAATTGTATAGTGTAATGAAAAATGGGTATGTTTAGTGAGTATATCATTTGTTAGTCTATGTTGTTAGATGAGATTTAGTCTCAAAATGGTACCCTCGGTCCTGTTACGTGGGGAGGGGAAAAGTTCAAATGAGTATTTTATACTTTGCCCAAACATCGGATTTTTATCTCCAACTATACTTTGAACATAATGTTGTATCATTCAGAGACTTCCAGCCAGCTTTTCTTAGTTAAATTTGTTGTATTTA